TATAGCTCGATTTGGTCCTGTTTCAGTGACTGCCATTAAGGACGAACTGACTAATGTTGTCTTTAGCCTATGTGTGGCATGTACCATAGTGATAGTGCATGTATTCATGTTAATCTTTGCTCTTCAAATATAAAAAAACCTTGCAGTTTCGTGGGAGACCTTGATCATCGCCCTACATTCAGTTTAAGTGTAATTTATTTTTAATTAATATTACATTTTAAGCAAAATATAAATGAAAAAAATACAGATGACATGACCTCAGAGTTCTCTGTGGTAGCCTTGAGACCGGCATTAGATTTTTCCAATCAAACAATTGCTTTTTTTGTGGTAGATTTTGGAAAATATTTAATCTGAACATGAATCTTACATTCAACCTAATTTTCTATTTTCTTGTTGATTTACCAGAACTCAAAAATGGAAGGAAAAATCCTTCTGAAGAATTAATGCCGACGCCACATTTCACTGACACGGATGAAGGGATTCAGGAAGTTTTGCAAATTAGACAGCAGAAAATTAATACGATTCATATAAATAACATGAATGCCTTGCCTCTGGACAAAGAAGGAAAAAAAGTCATGAAAAATTCCAGCACTGGAACAAAAATGTCATCCCTCAGAACAGAGATGAGCTCTACATCTACATCAACCTTTCCACATAAAGGAGCATTAATGTCAGAGTCAACCCCAAATGAAGTTTTAACTGGGTTAAGCACAACATCAACAGTTTCCTCTTCCAGTACAGTGCATTTCCAGACTTCAGATCCAACTGTCTCTCCTGCCAGTACCCAAGATTCTCAATCAACCTCAAGTCACATCTCAAATACAAATGCGGCCAGAAATACAACAAATTTAGACACGTTGAATAGCCCTAACCCATCTGTGACAAACACACCCTATATCACAAACTCTTCTTCGGTTACGACAGAGAAAACTGCTGGAACATTGTCTTCTACTGAGCCAACTGCAGCAGAAACAGCTGACACAACTGCACCAAGTACAGGCCCATCAGAAAGTAAAGCAACATTTGCAACTGATTCATCCCTAACAGAGATGCAATCTACACCTTCTTCAACCTTTCCACACACAGAAACAATATTGTCAACAGAGTCAACAACAAACAATGTCACAAATGGGTTAAGCACACCAACAACAGTTTCCTCTTCCAGTACAGTGCATTTCCAGACTTCAGATCCAACTGTCTCTCCTGCCAGTACCCAAGATTCTCAATCAACCTCAAGTCACATCTCAAATACAAATGAGGCCATAAGTACAACAAATTTAGACACGTTGAATAGCCCTAACCCATCTGTGACAAGCACAACCTATATCACAAACTCTTCTTCGGTTACGACAGAGAAAACTGCTGGAACATTGTCTTCTACTGAGCCAACTGCAGCAAAAACACCTGACGCAACTGTAACAAGTACAGGCCCATCAGAAAGTAAAGCAACATTTGCAACTGATTCATCCCTAACAGAGATGCCATCTACATCTAATTCAACCTTTCCACACACAGAAACAATATTGTCAACAGAGTCAACAACAAACAATGTCACAAATGAGTTAAGTACACCAACATCAAATTCC